TTTACTCGAAATAGGATTCCTCTGCCTGTAGCACGTCACTTTTGCATAAAGTCTTATTAACTTTTTATTTATATTACTGTAATTGAGCCATACTATTAAGAACCCGTTTTGGTTCCAGCCTACTATATGATTACATATCTGAGCTAAAGCCTTTTCAGTATTCCGCCTGAACTAATTATAGAACCACCAGTGATTGTTGCTAAACCGTTTGTTTCCAAGGGAGAGGAATTAATTTGTACATGTCCAGGGACTAGCTGCAATGAAAAATTGATGAATAAACTTGAATTGGATAGTACCGAGTTCCTAGTAAGGACACCTTCACAATTTGTCGCTAAACTTTGTGTGACAGCAGCATGGAGGGGGGATGAGAGGTGCCTGAAATCACATTCGTTGTAAGAGTTGTTTATAAATTTCTCACCTTTGAGATTCTCTTGCGTACAAAACACTATAATTCACGAAATCGTCTGAGTTTTGATTTTTCCTCGTCTATAATATATAATTATACTGTTTTCTCAAAGCTCCCATTATTTTAAGAATTGATGTTCAACAAACCGTATCGGCACAGCCTCCTGGTGAGCAGAAATTGCGGAGCGTTAAGCCTTTACGTTGGCAAAATTGCGCAAAGTCTTGCTCAATCTAGAATCGAAAAAAAAATTGGCGAACCTTAGGGAAAAAGCTGATAGATGGGGAACAGATCAACTGAGAAACAACATTACTGCATGCATAATTATCTTCAAACTTCGGCTTCTCCTGGAGAGGTGTTACCGTAAGTTCAAACAACATAAATAACACACGAGCTTTTCAAAATTTCAGAAGGTGAGGCTGTCCGACGACGAAAAACGACACGACAAATAGTTATTCGACAAAGGTTTTGTTTTGTTGAATACTCTAGATTGATCACAGCAATAAACAGCAAAAAGTGGAGAAGCAGTGTGCAATTAAGCGTTAAGTGATTACCTGTAGTTTTGCTTTCAGATATTTCAAGGAAAAGTCTAAATCTCTCGTTCCTGGAATCCCCGGCTCCCCTAATTTAGGTGCTACATAGCCGTCTAAAGAATCCAGTGAGTCGGATTTTTTTAGTTCCGTTTTGTTCGCGACTAAGTTCAAACCAATCGGAACAGGTTGACTCTTGCCGATGAGATGCTTTAATATTTATTCTCATTAAAGATGAGAGTCAATGAGTACTCACATTCTTTTTGTCCAGTTTTAAATGACGCGAGAAGGGAGCGCTTACAAAATCTCTGGAAAGATATGATTTGAAAACTGCGATCAAACATGGTAATTACGTGCTGGTGGAAGCATCACAAAGAACGATACTTTTGATTGGCTCATCCTTGGTTTCAGAACAAGTTGATTCGGTTGCGTTCAAATCATCTTCTTCTTCTTTCTCGCTCACATAAGCATCCATGCTTTCCTTGTGTTTTTCGAACGGATCAAAAACAGGACGTTCATTCTGAGGAGTTTGTGTTGGTACAGCAGGAAGATCGTTTTCAATTAAAAATGTTTTCTTTGATAGTTCCATAAAAGCAGCAGACGGTACATCCACTTCAATCGTGTCACCACTACCCTGAACAGATAGGTTCATTGTCACAATAGCTAGCGAGTAGAACGGTTGTTCCACAATGACTTACTGAATAAATTTTTTCGAGATTCAGATGGAACCCTTGGGGGGCTTTAATACTTCGATAAGACGTTGGAGCCGATATCATACCGGTATCTGAGTTCTCTAATTCCGACGCTAAAGAGTCATAAACGGAATCGAACGAGCGACTTCTAAACAAAACGTCTTATACACAGTTGGTTCATTTTAAATCTAACCTATGATGTGGAGCTTGTTGTCTAAACTTCATCAATTCTTCTTCTGCTTCATAAAACATACTTTTCAACTCTAGATAATCATTCTAAAATGGTTTATTGTAAAGTATGAATGATGAAATAGCCAGACCTGTAAGTTTTGAGCTTCTGATAGTAAAGATCCCTGACGTTCTATTGCTTCATCTAATTGCTTGGTTATCTCGTCATTAATTCGGAGCAACTGAATCATATACTTTAAAATATATAAGTATGGTTCTCTCACCTTCCGTTCTTTATTGTGTCTAAGAGATATCTCATGCAAGAGTTTTTCGATTGATTGAGATTGCATCGAACATTCCTCATTTTTTACTTGTATCGCTGAGTGTAAATTTTCAATCTTGAAAAAGCACCAGATTAAGACAGTCAAGGGTTAGGGTCTACCTTCTCATTAGCTATATCAATCTGCTTTATTAAATCGTTCAGATGTTTCTTTGATTTCTCATCAATACCATCAGCTTCCTTTTGCAATGATTTTGTCTGAAATTCTTGGTCCGAACTATTCAAGAGATCATAAATACCTCTGCTTTCAACCGCCTATTTTCCGATACAAGCTTATCGATTCTTTGTCTTAATGAAGCGTCGTCATTTCTTAAAAGAAGTTGAAGTAATTGAATTATCATCATGTGTTTTTACCCCATTTCATCATCATCATCATAATATGAGTATACCCGTAATAACTCAATTCTCTTATTAAGCTCATGGTTTAATTGAACGATCGTTTCGGAACTTGTGGCTAAATTTTCTTCTAGAAATTCATTTCTGAAAAATCAAGTTCTTCTAATGTTTCGTTTGCTTCTATTGAACCTTGTTTGTAAATCTTTATTTTGTTCTAACAGAGATTGCCCAATTTGTGCGGCAAGTTCAAGATCCCTCTCCGCCTGAAGGAATGCAATACATTAAGAGAAATGTTTACAAGAGCGAACCTGGTATAGCCTTTCGGAATAGCCGTTTGACTCCGGAGATGGTCCGGCCATCCAACGGCGAGCTCTATTTTCTATAACAAACACGTAAGAATAGGAATAGTAATGAGATATTATAGCACTTCCGAAGCGTAAAAATGTTGCGAATTATAAGAATATGTCAGTCAATATTATTTAAATATTGACAGAACGTCTACCAGAATGAGAAGAACATGAAATGCTTTAAGCTTTATGGAACGTCTGTGCGAAAGACAAAGAGAATTGATCAATAAGTCGTATATAACTTGTAAACTTTAAGAAACATGGTTCAATGTGAACTAAAGTTGTAAGAGGAACTGGATAGTATGTTCCGATGTAAGAAAACACATATGTTTTAGATTCGCAACACATACATATATAAAGAAGAACAAACGACTAATTGGATTTTTTATACTCTATTGAATGCAGTAAGCAAAGAGGTTGATAAGATAAGAATTCATAACTCAATATCAGTAAGTATAGATGAATAATGCTTTTAAAAGAGTCAAAAAGAACAATAAAGGATTGTCAGATGAATAGTTTGATTCGGAACAGATGATGTCAGAAAAATCGAAGGCCATTTCAATGATTGTAGGATCTGGAGAGACAAGCAAAGACGAAGGCAAATACCTGATTACATGGTAAGAAAAATTTAAACAAATATTTTTTCTTCATGCAATTCTTTTTTTTTGAAAGAAACATTTTTCTGAAGATAAATATCATAATTAACATTAAATGTTTAGAGTGGTTTGCATAGAGCGCTGATAACACTTTGCTAATCAGTTGAGAGGATGAAAAAAAGAAATGAAAACTAAAGATCAAACAGCCAATTAGAGAAACAACTATTTTTGGATATCAGAAGGTGACTTTTGAAGATGATTGTAGTTTACGGAACTTTTAAACGTTTACTAATTGCCTGAATAAAGGACGGGATATCAGGTTTGAACTTATGTTGTTAAGGATGCTTCTTATTTAGAAGCATTCATAGAACATTTTTTGAAAAAAAGTCATTTTCTCGTTTCGTTTTGGTCCTAATACGAATATGCATTGGAGTAGACGACGATGACGAAAACTACGACTAGGAGGACAGAAAGAGAAGAAGAGATAGAATAAGAGAAACAGCAAGAGAAGAGAGAAAAGCGACGGCAGCAGCTACACTATTGATTGTGCTGCTGGTGTGATGAAAAAGAGAAAGAGGAAAGGAAGCGAAATGCAAGAGGCTGAAAAGAAAAATGGGAAACGAATCTTCCTCCGTCCTACGCTTCTTGCTCTCTCTCTCTCTTTATCTCTGCCCCACTCTCACCTCTAATAATTTTTTTTGGAATTTCAAAAATCGATCTAGGTGTACTAAGTATTAAATGAAAGGTAAGCGTTTGTATAACTCCGTGAGAACGTTGGAATGCTTAGAGGGACAAGTAATTAATGCAATTTAGGAGCACTCTGGAGAACAAAAAAAATAATTAACAACCGTTCTTCGGAATAACAAGAATGGAGAATGAAGTATTTCGAATTCCACGTGAACTTTTCACGTGTGTTATTCAATATCGTAGTAAGAGGATTTTTGTGAAAGAGAAACATAGTGGTAGAAACTACAAAAAGAACTCAAAGAACAATAGAGGGAAATATTTTGAAAGTATAACGTTAGCATGAGTAATGAAAGTAGTGGTCGGAAATTTATTGACAACCCATAATATGAATGACAAGAAATGGTAGACGGTGGGATTAAGTAAATAGATGTTAATAAGCAAGAACCTTCAAGTTTCTGCTGCTGATATGGCTTATATAATATGTTTTTCAGAGCTTATAAATGGGATTCGAAGAAACACACAAGATTGATATCATAATCCGCAATTCACTAATGAATTTGTTTTCAAACGAGCGTCACAAAATAGTTTTTTATTATAAAATAGTGACTCACGGTATGTATAGAAACGATCGATGAGATCATCTTTTAATAAACTGTGTTGGCTATTTCCATATTGTGTCAGAGAGGGATCTGAGCTTTTACCGAACTCGGTATCCACTTCGCCCAATGTTTGGAAACGAAGACTACAAATCCCGAAGTTTTCTGGAGATTCTGAAAGCAGAATGTATAGATTATTCGTTGTCAGAACTGAAAGTGAGTAAAGGTTGTCACGCAATCAAGTTTTTGGATATTTTCAAAAAATTCTAAATTTCAGAGGAGAGCTTGAAACAGTTGATGAACAGCTGCTTTTCTCAAGTTCTCTAGTCAATATTTTTTTCGATATGAGGAAAATTACTTTAGATGCTATCATGAATGAACTAGAAAGGAAATATTTGCTCGAAGAACTTAAAGCTCTCAGCTCTCACAGCACCTATTGGAGCGAGAATTATTAGGCGATATGTGGCTGAACTCGGTGGAATTAAAATAACTTTCTCTCTCTCCCTGAGCTCGCCAAAGCTATAATCATGTGAAAACTTTTTATCCTCCCATTAATCTGTTCCAAAAAATAATAAGAAGAAATAATGATACAACGATAATGTTTGTTTTGGAAAACATGAAAAGGAAGGCCAAAAATTCGGTGGAAGTTATGAAAAGTCTTTAATTAAGCTGTCAAGATATTATAGGACAGCTGTAAGGAAAGATGGGAAGAAAAGATGATATCGAATTACTAACAACTGCTTTCGTATTCATAAATTCCCTTTAGATATGATAGCTTAGAAGAGAGGATAGACATTAAAAATAATAGAAGAAGTTAAGTAAAGTTTAAAAAAAAGCGGTAAAGAGGTCAAATTGTAGAAACTGTTCCACAACGAAATGTTCGGAGCAGCACAATGGGGATGGCCGTGTGGAATTGAATGCAATGAAATTTGAAATGATAACAATTCATTACATTAAAAGACCTTGAGCGAATCTTCGATCAAAAGTGCGGAAACTGATCAGTTTTCTGAAAGTTAATTTTAATAAAGGATAAACTACTGTTTGTATAGACAGGAGAGTTGACAAACGACGTAATGTAGTACTTACTAGATTCTATTTGATGTTCGTTGTTTGACAAGTTTTTAAAATTTAAAAAAGAATGTAAATATTCGATGCTGTACCATTTCCAACAAAAATCTTATGTAAGTTTCGAATTGGCTAAGATGTCCTCAGAAACAAAAGGAGAATGTGTGTGAAGATGTTGCTAAGTAACGATATATGACTTTATCATGTTATTTTTCTGAAATGAAACTCTCATGCGAATTCATATTTTGAAAATACCCGCTCTGGGAGGAACTTCTATGTTTCTCATATTCCTGGTTTTCCTGTTCAGTTCAAGAGGGCACATTTAAATACGTTTGGATAATGTAACGCATAACGCGCTCCAATGCTAAGTATGCAGGAACTTGTGGTTACGGTATGTAAGAACTGCCAACATTCCGTCCCACTTGCATTACGTTTCATACGAATTAAGACTAACCAGCGTTAATTTATTTCGAATTTTGTATTGTTTAAACGAAAACTTTGCAGCTCTAGGACACCATAACATATGAGCGATGTCACTTCTTGTAAAGTTTGAATCCAAGTCTGCTAGGGTCAAAGGTTTGACTCGATATTTTATGAGAATATACAGTTTTTGTTAAGGCATCTCTTTCCATCCCACAAGACCATGGGTGCTCGCATCACTCCATAGTGGAGTAATCCAACTATGGGACTATCGTATGTGTGTATTACTTGATAAATATGATGAGCACGATGGACCTGTTCGTGGAATTTGCTTCCATCAGGAACAACCTATTTTCGTGTCGGGAGGAGACGATTACAAAATTAAAGTACGATCATTTAGGAGTTTAGAAAAATGTTTTCTGTTCTTAGGTATGGAATTATAAGCAACGGAGGTGCATTTTCACATTACTTGGGCATTTGGATTACATTAGGTCAACATTTTTCCATCATAAATACCCTTGGATCATTTCTGCTTCTGATGATCAGACTGTTCGAATCTGGAACTGGCAGAGCAGAAACTCTATTGCCATTCTCACAGGTTTGAAACTCTCTTAAACGAATTAATTTTTAATTTTTGTAAGGACACAACCATTATGTTATGTGTGCTCAGTTCCACCCAAGCGAAGATCTTGTAGCATCTGCTTCTCTAGATCAGACTGTAAGAATTTGGGACATTTCTGGATTAAGTACGTTTCATACAGTTATCTCAGTAATGTTTATTTCATTCAGGGAAGAAACAAATGCCAGGAGGTGGGGCAGCCACTTCCAGACCAGGAGCTCCTGCAAGTCAAGCAGATATTTTCGGGCAACCCGACGTTGTTGTCAAGCATGTATTGGAAGGACACGATCGAGGTTTGCAGCTAAAGTCGGTTTTTTTAAAATATATATATACTTAAGGTGTTAACTGGGTTGCTTTCCATCATAGCATGCCTATCCTCGTATCTGGATCTGATGATCGTCAATTGAAAATGTGGAGATATAATGAGACTAAGGCTTGGGAAGTAGATAGTTGCCGTGGGCATTACAACAACGTCTCTTCTGTTCTCTTCCATCCAAATGCTGAGCTCATTTTGTCGAATTCTGAAGACAAGTCGATCCGTGTTTGGGATATGCACAAGAGAACCAGTCTTCATGTCTTCAGGTTTGGAGTTACATCAATCTTTCAATCTGTTTTTTTAAAGGCATGAAAATGAACGCTTCTGGGTACTCTCCGCTCATCCTTCTCTGAACATGTTTGCTGCTGGACATGACAATGGAATGATTGTATTCAAGATTCAACGAGAGAGACCTGCATACGCTGTTGCTGATAATCTTGCATTCTATGTGAAAGACAAGCAACTCCGCCGCCTTGATTTAGCTACGAGGTCGGTTCATTTTAATTTGAAAGTGCTGAACTCTCTGTTCCAGTCAGGATGTTGCTGTTTGTAAACTTCGTTCTGCAGCTGCATTCATGTTGCCATATTATTCCCTGGCTTTCAACCCAGCTGAAAACAGTTTCTTACTGGTTAGCAGATCTCATAACAAGGACACATGTGTTTATGACTTATATAAGGTATTTCGACTTTGAAAAAACTTTAAATAAGATTATATTAGATGTCCAAGGATACTGACAGCAACAGTGATGTTCCCAATCAAAGAAACGCTGGTGTTGCTTCTGTTTGGGTTGCCAGAAACAGATTTGCTGTCTTGGATAAAAATCATCAGGTTACCTAAGGTGTGCAAGAAGTTGTTGAAGGATTCTTGCTTAAGATTTCACTTCGTGATTTGGCTAACAAAGAAGTTCGTAAAATCGACCTCAACATCGCGGTTGATGATATTTTCTATGCTGGTACTGGACTTCTTCTTCTGAAAAACGATGAAGGGCTTCAATTATTTGATGTCCAACAGAAACGCGCTATGGCTCATGTTAAAGCCAGCAAGGTATTCAATAATTTTATAACCGCCAATGATGTCAAAAACAAAAAACTACACATCGATCTTATTCGAATTAAAAACCGTGTGATAACCGAGAAACTGAGGCCCTCATTTCTTTAATATTCTAATTTCTTTTCTATGTTTGCCGTTTCAGGTCAAGTATGTCATCTGGTCTCGTAACATGGAATATGCTGCTCTTCTATCTAAGCATAATCTTACGTTAGTTGATCGTAAGTTGGAAATTCTCTGCACCCAGCAAGAGTCGACAAGAATCAAGAGCGGTGCTTGGGACGAAGACGGCGTGTTTTTATATACCACTAGCAATCATATCAAGTATGCATGTTTGCTAAAAAATGATAACTAGTCATGTTTTTAGGTATGCTCTCTCAGCTGGAGATGCTGGAATCGTTAGAACTTTAGATGTTCCTCTTTACATTTTAGCTGTAAGGGCCGGAGTTTTGTACTGCTTGAATAGGGATGCAACTCCTGTAGAAGTACCAATTGATCCGACTGAGTACAAGTTCAAGCTTGCTCTCATTAACCGACGAATCGATGAAGTATGCTCCATTCTTAATGCACCCACTCATCGATGTTTAGGTTCTGAATATGGTCAAGAGCGCCAATCTTGTCGGACAGTCTATCATCAGTTACTTAGAAAAGAAAGGCTATCCCGAGATCGCTTTGCACTTTGTGAAAGATGAGAAGACCAGATTTGGATTAGCACTCGAATGTGGAAATCTGGAGGTAGCTCTCGAGGCGGCTAAGGTAATATATATTAAATAAAAAGTAGCTGATCTCATCTTTGTAGATTGTTGATGAAAAAATGGTTTGGGAAGCTCTAGGAGAAGCAGCTTTAATTCAAGGAAATCATCAAATTGTGGAAATGGCATATCAGCGTACCAAAGATTTTGAAAAGTAGGATTTTTTTCAGTTTATTATCTTCAAATAATATCTCTTAAGGCTATCTTTCTTGTACCTCGTTACGGGTAACACCGAGAAACTTGCTAAGATGATGAAGATTGCCCAAATGAGAAACGATGCTCATGGACATTATCAGACAGCTTTGATGCTCGGAGATATTGATGAAAGAATTAAAGGTTTGTAACTCAATTAATTCATTTTGCCAATGATGTCAAAAACAAAAAACTACACATCGATCTTATTCGAAGTCAAACCGTGTGATAATCGAGAAACTGAGGCTCCATAATCAACTAGCGAGAACTTGAATACATGGCTCTATCATTTTTTTTAGTCCTGAAGAGTGTAGGACAGAACTCTCTAGCTTATTTGACTGCTGCTACGCACGGCATTACCAATGAAGCTGAAGAGTTGGAAGCAGACTTGTTAGCTAAGGGAAAACCTTTGCCACCAGTTGATCCGTCAGCTAGATTCCTAGCACCACCACCACCTATGTGCAAAGTAGGTTTTGTTTTGTCCGCGTTTTGTAACTCTGTTCTCAGTTGGAAGACAATTGGCCTCAACTCGCTGTATCAAGAGGACCATTCGATTTGCATCTTCTTGGCATCGGGAACACGTCTAAGGGTTCTACTTCTACTGCCACTAAGAATCATGCTGCAACAGCTTTCGCTTTGGCTGATGATGACATCGAGGTTCGTTTCGCCACTTGAGTGCTCATTTTATCGGCTGGTTAGATTGACGCAGGAGATGCCTGGGGAGACGGTGGAGATTATCTGGTCGATGAAAATGGAGAGATCGAAGTTGACGAGAACGACCTTGCTGGAACAGTCGAAGATGGTGGATGGGATGTTGATGAAGACTTGGCCATCCCTGACTTACCTGATGAGAACAGATCTGGTTTGATTTCCCAATATTTTGAGAACTTATATTTTTTTTTAACAGAATCTATCATTCCTAATCGCGGAGTTGCACCTTCCACTCATTGGGGTAACAGTAGATTAGTAGCTGATCATATTGCTGCCGGTTCCTTTGAATCTGCTGCTCGCTTATTGAAGGATCAATTGGGAATTATCAATCTTGAACCCTTCAGAAATGTGTTCATCGCTCGTTATGCTTTGTACGTTGTTCTTGTCTCACTTCTTCATTGTTCTGCTACCTTAGATCTCGATGTGCTTTCGAAGCATTGCCTGGTAGTGGAACTTCATTCGCCTATCCTCTGAGAAATTGGCAGGAGGCTGTTGGAAAGTAAGTACTGCCCTCATCCTCGAGCATCATTGAGCTTTTTCCAGGAATGGTCTTCCTGCTATTAGCGTCAGACTCTCAGATTTAGCCAGCAGATTGCAACAATGTTATCATTTAACAACCGCTGGAAAGTTTGCAGAAGTTATCGTTAGGCTTAGAAAAATTCTTCTTCTTGCTCCTCTCCTAGTTGTCAACTCGAAACAAGAGGTGAGCAGTTTGCTGGTAACAACGATTCTAAGTTCTAATTAGGTAGCCGAGGCTGAACAACTCATCGAAATCTGTCGCGAATATCTCGTAGGACTCCTATTGGAAAGCGCTAGAAAAGTTTACCGTTCTTTCTTGACTTTTTTGAACTGTTTTCTTCTAGGACTTGCCTAAAACTGATGCTCAGGGTGTTCTTAGAAACGCCGAGATGGCTGCCTATTTCACTCATTGCAATTTACAACCCGTTCACAGAATCTTGACCCTTAGATCGGCAGCTAATGTGTTCTTCAAGCTGAAGCAAATGAAAACGTGTGCATCTTTATGCCGTCGTCTTCTTGAACTTGGACCAAAGGCAGATTTAGCTGAAACTGTGCGCAAAATGCTGGCTGTCGCTGAACGTGACAATAATGAAGCTCACAAGGTTCGTTTGCTAACATTCCTCAACTACGCCAATGATGTCAAAAACAAAAAACTACACATCGATCTTATTCGAATTCAAACCGTGTGATAATCGAGAAACTGAGGCTCTATTAAAACTGTCAAAACATTGATGGAATGTTTATATAATTTTTACAGCTGCAATATGATGAACATAATCCATTCGATCTTTGTTCCCGCAAATTTATTCCCATCTATCGAGGAAAATCGTTGTGTAAATGTCCTTTCTGTGGAGCCTCGTATACACCAGGTTGTGAGGGATCTGTATGTGATGTCTGTGAAGTAAGCGAAATTGGAAAAGATGTAATCGGCTTGAGAATATCGACTTTGCAAAAGTGAATCGGTTATTTATAATATGTGATATACTGGAAATGGTGTTCTTTTTTACTTCTGTTATAATAATTTATTCTTCTGACATTGTGATATAATGCCCCTATTTCTAAATTATTCGGTTGTTTTATGGTTAAGGGTCTAATACTCATTAGAACTGCTGACTTGTAACTTATTCGACTTTGATAATAAAATCTTGTTCAAAGACTTCATTTGTAACGGCGGTTGTTTCCTTCTCCATATTTTGGTTGTAATTTTCACCCAACAAATTCTTAGTTTGAGGCATGATGGAGCCAACACCAACTGAGAAGCATATCCAACTATCCTTCTTCTCTCATGAAAGCTTGTTAGTTGGTTTACTTGTTAACATATTACACAATTCTTCAGGTTCAAAGACTTGCCGGATGCCGTTTACGATGTCCCTATCTCCACAGAGCCCGAAAAACTGATTCTGCTGCTCAACAAAACTATGCAAGCAGTCAAAGGTAGAATGTGATTACATGATGGTTGAACACATTGTTATAGACGATTGGGTTGATCGAAATGTTGAACTCTTAATCGGAGATACTTTCATTAGAACCTCACTCGAGGAGTTCATTGAAGAATTTCAAATCCAGACGGTAGCTCGTGTTTTCACCAAAATTCTTCTTAATAAATAGTTAAGGAAGTAGTAGTAAGAGTGGAATGTATATTACGTATGGAAGCTCCTTCTCCCAAGCATGATCTGCCAGCTCCAGATTGGGTATCCTCTGTTCAGATTTTCAACAAAAAGTGAGCATTATCATTCGGGCATTCTCACAATTTCAAGCTTCAGTATTTTTGCCACGACTTATAACGGAGAAGTAGTGTGTTGGAATACTAAAGGCGAACAAGTCATTCAAGCTCAGAGAGATAAAGGAGCTTCTTATAAATGCGGTGTGATTGTCAATGGTTAGTTATCGAAAATCTATCAGATTCCATACTTTTTGTATCAGGAGAAGGATTAAATGATTTCTCTTTTATTGTTGGAGGCGATGTTTTGACTTTATATGAGTCTCGTTCTAGTCAAGTAACTGCAAAGGTATGGAAATAGCTTGCAAGCCATATCCTATTGTGAGTTTAGGCTGTATTCAGAGGCCATGAAAGAAGTGTCGAAGCAGTTTGTTTGAACTCACCAAAAACACGACTATTATCCGGTGGTTTCGATAACTACGTGAAAATATGGAATATTGAAGGTTATCCGATTTGTTTTTTTCAATCAGTGGGTTGTTCATCTTTTCAGACTCTGATGAGATCACGATATATGAGAAACCAGAATCGGAAAAACCCAAGAAGAAGAAAGAGAACTTTGTCACTAAAGTACTACTGCTCTCCTGATCCTTTTTCTTTAAATATCAGTTATAGACTCCTGTAATGACTTTGGCTGGTCACAAAGACGCTGTAGTAGCTCTTTCCTGGACGACATGGAATGAGAAAAATGCTATTTCTGCTTCTTGGGATCAATCCATCATAGTTTGGGATTTGGAATTAGGTTGGTTCACTAACCAAATCTAATATTGTTTTTATTCTACAGGAGGAGAAATCGCTAAAATTAGAGGTCAAAAAGCTTTTACCGATTTGGCTGTTAATGAATCAACAGGACTTGTTATAACATCAAGTACGGATTCTGTTCCTAGACTTTATGATGTCAGATCTCACGGTATTAACAATGTCCAAAAAGTAGCTCAATTTTGTTTCAAGAAGGAACATTCGTAAAACAAACGTTCACTGGACATCGTGGATGGGTTTCTTGCCTATCTTGGAACCCTGAAAACAGTAATATGTTTGTCTCAGGGTCCTTTGATAACTCCTTGAAAATGTGGGATATTAGGTCAGTTAAATGACGATTTTGGCAGCAGATAGAACATTTCAGATCTTCAAAAACCTCAGTCTTTGATTTACATGGCCATGAAGATAAAGTTCTTTGTGTTGATTGGAATGAACACTCCATCGCCTCCGGTTCAGTCGACACCACAGTGAAAGTTTTTAATGTCTAACTTCTATTGTTGAATTTGTTGTTATTTCCTTGTTATTGTTTTTCTTTGAATAAATCTTATCATCACAGCTTTTATCTATACTTTCTCAAAACAGTTATCTCGTTCAAAGAATTATTTATGCTTAAAGTTTTGAAGAAATCAAAGATGTGCCGTTACAAATCCGAGGTTCAAAGTTTCACCGAACGAAGTGCACAAGGAACATTTTGTAAACAGCGCGCATTGATATCGTTCTCAATTTCAATTAATTACCATATTAGAGTAATATTCAACGTTTTTTTGTATTACTTATGACATTCCATGAGAGAACAGTACTTTTTTTTATATTAAACCTGTTAGTTTTCTTTTCCTACATATTTCGAGGCGAAATAGAGAAAGGAGGGGGATGAAACGAGCAGTTTTAAATTAGTTAGGGAAGACTCATAGTTTTAAATTATCTTTCAAATAGCTTCACAGACAACTTCCCTGAAACTTCATAGATCCTTACATTTCAGTATCCTTGTTATCGTCACTGAAATCCTGCTTATATATTCTTTCAGAGCCAGTTGAATGTCAAAAAAACTAAGGAAGAAAGGAGGAAAAGCTCTCACAGAGACACAACAATTTCGGAAACATGATCATGTCGAAGTAGTAGCGGCACTTACTGGTAAATACTCTTCCCTTCATAACGTAGGTGTTCATCTGGATTTTTAATCATAAACAGAAAGTCCTTATAGTTGCAAGCAATAGCAGCTCCTTTCAAGCAGTTCCCGTTATCCAGGCAAACGCAAAGGGTACAAAATCAGGATTCAGCCTCAAATTTAAAATGATTGATTTTGAAGGGGTTAGAAGAATGTGGTTATGAAATTCCTACAGCTGTTCAAAATAATTCGTTACCTTTTACGCTAACAGGCCATGATGTAGTAGCGGCAGCTAAAACAGGAAGTGGAAAAACACTGGCTATGCTTATTCCGGTGAGAGTTTTTTTTCAATTTTACAAATTGATGTCAATAATTTCAGATTTTGGAATGTTTATGGAGGAATCATTGGTCTCCTGATCTCGGATTAGGAGCTCTGATCATTTCTCCAACCAGAGAGTTAGCGTTGCAAACGTACACTTGTTTGAATAATATCGGACGGTTCCATAAATTTTCAGCTGCCCTTTTAATTGGAGGTGAATATGATGCTCTGAATCTAAAACTGTTTTTCAATTTCAGGAACGGACGTAAAGTATGAATTACAGCGTGTTGCACTTGTTAACATTGTTATTTGTACTCCTGGAAGACTTTTGCAGGTTCCTTTCCTATTTTTAATATTATATACTGCATTTTTAGCACATGGACGAAAATTCTAACTTGGACTGTGACGGTTTACAGGTTTTAGCTTTGGATGAGGCTGATAGAATGCTGGATATGGGCTTTTCGCAGCAGGTATACGAGTAGTCATGTTTCATAACTGTTTCTTCTAATAGATTAATGCTATTGTTGAGAACTTACCACGCACACGCCAAACTCTTCTCTTCTCTGCCACCCAAACGAAAAACGTGCAAGATTTAACTAGAGTTTGTACCAAGGTGCTTTCGCTTTTCATTTGCTCCTACGATAGTTCCGATTTTAGGATCCTTATTTTGTTAATCCTCACCAAAATTCTGAGTTTGCTACTCCTGTCGGTTTAAAACAGTACTATACGACAATGGAAGAGCATCTGAAGATAAATATGTTGTGGTCATTCATTGTTAGTCATAAATTCCACAAATCTCTAGTGTTTGTAACTAATTGTAAACAGGTTCGTGTTCTGAGAATGAGTATTAAGCAATAGAAACTTCAGGCAAGATTTTTAACGGAGGCGTTTTGTCACATGCGTCCCGGAGTTGTTTTAATGGGTTTGTGGGGCACTATGAATCAAAAAAAGAGAGTCCAAACTTTCCAGAAGTTTGAAAATACTAAGGTTTGTTGCAAAGGTTCCCTAACTAAGTTTATTTTACAATTAGCATGCTGTAATGATAGCCACTGACGTTGCAAGTCGAGGTTTAGATTTTTCTGATGTTGACTGGATCGTGCAAGTAGATGCTCCAGCCACCATAGAAGATTATATTCATAGGTTGGTTGATTATCTATAAGGTTCAGTACTTCTGTTCTAGGGTTGGACGAACAGCACGGATGGATACTAATGGCAGTTCCATAATATTCTTGAACAACTTCCAAAAAGACAATATGTTATCTTTACTTCAGAAGTATAGCATACCAATTGAACAGCAAAAGTTTGCCTGTTTCATGACTTATTTTCCTAAATCTATCCTAGAGTGAAAGAAAGCAGAATTGTTGATGCTAGGCCTGCTCTTCGTAATGTCATTGTCGAGTTCCCAGAATTAAAAGACTATGCACAAAGGGTATGATTAGCTTTATCCTTTTATATTTCGTTTTTTTGCTGTTTAGAGTATTATCGCTTACATCAAAAGCATTTACTTGATGAAGAACAAGCAAGTTTTCGATGTTAGCACTATCAACGTGGAGGCTTTATCTGATTCTTATGGATTATTATCAGCTCCAAAGATTCGATTCTTGCGTAAGACACAGCATGCTGACAAATCTAAGAAGGCTACGGAAAAGAAAAAGTTTACCAATGAAATGAATTTCGAACTGAACAGTGTATGTTTCACTCTCCTAACATTCATCTATTTGAAATGTTTTTAGTTCAAGATAGATTCTAAAGATGACGATTTCCTCAGTATCAAAACTAAGGATGTGTTTAATACTCTGAATAATGATAAGGTTAGCGACACTTTCTTCATATCAAACCATGCTGATTTGTAGGAAGAAGAGGAGGTTCCAGAAATCAAGGGGCGAGGCATGAAAGTTAAAGCCGTCACTAAGGAGGAAACAGCTAAAAAATTGTTAAAGAAGGGAGTTGTGATTAACTCACGAACTACTTTCGATGAAGAAGGAGTAGGATTATTTTTTCTTAGTATGTATAAATTGGTTTTTGTAGGCTGTTCCTGAAAAAGAAGCAGTTGAAGAAGTTAGAGAAAATGTTGGTCTAAATATTGAGGAAGCACAGAAAGAAATACAAGAAAGAGATGAAGTTGGCTTCGATTTTTAAAAAACTTCATGTGAAAAATTTATAGAGAGATAAAGAGGAACGCAGGCAGATCAGAAGGAAACACAATAAAGAAAGAAAGATGAAGGAAAAAATGGCTAGGAAAGCTCAACGAGATAAAATGGAGGAAAAACAGAGAGATATTGCGGACTCAGACTCTGACAATAGTGTTGATTTATCTTGGTTACCTGACCCTGATAATCCGAAAAGTAATTGAATTATCTGTTCTGTTAACTAACTTCATGTCTTTAGGAATGTCAGATGATGAAGACGATGAGCCGAAGGTTAAACGAAGATATCGTGAGGTCGTTGAAACGCAAGAAAAGTTCGCCATGGACTTGCTTAATCCATTTTAAAGAAAGCAAAGGTTTTATTGTTATGATGTCGTTATTTCACAGTGAATTGTTGATGTTATCTTTGTTAAATTGTGAAACTTTTACTTCATCTTCATACTATTCTTCACGTTTTTCGTGGTTCGTACCTTATGATTTGACCTTGATTCATTTTCAACAGAAGCAATTCAAGATGACTCTCGTATATCAGCCAGCTGGGAAAATCCCTTTCAGTAATCAGAGCAACCATTCAGATGAAGTCTGCTTATACTGGAAACGGATGCAGGTATTGAAATTAAGTTTGAAATTTTAGCAACTGTCATATTTTCAGCTCTTGTCTGTCTTCCAAGAACCTGGAATAGTTAGTTCTGTGGATTTTTGTCCCACATCGAAGCCTATTATTGCAACTACAAGCTCTGTCAGACTATCCTTATTCGACGGAATTGTGTGTGAACCAATATCCTTGTTTTCCAGGTGATCTTATACATATCCATTCCAGTTATCACGTTTTTAGATTCAAAAAAGCTGTGCATGGTGTGCGATTTCGAAATGATGGAAAACTTCTAGGTTGCTCTCTAGTTTTCTAGTTTTTATTGAATTCATGTTGTAGCTATCGGAGGTGATGAAGGAAAGCTGCGTGTTTTTGACTGTGAGAAAGTAGCCAAATTAGGAAAAGTAAATAGAAAACAGAAATTTGTATGAATAATCTCATTACATTGTAGGCACCTCTTCGTAGTTTTAAAGTATGTGATAGTATCATCCGTGTTACTGATTTCACTCAAAGTGGAAAAACAGTTGTTAGTATGGCTGATGATGGTATGGTGAAGTTTTGGGATCTGGCCAGCATGGTGTAAGATCAATTTGCATATTCCTCTTCTTATTTTCTAAAAAAACAGATCAAAACCAGTTCAAGAATTTTCTGCTCATTCTGATCTTATTCGTGCCGGTCTTACTTCTTCCATAAACGATCACATTGTTATATCTGGCGGATATGATCACAAGGTAAATGTTTTTCTCGATCTTATCAGTACAATCTTTTGCAGATTAAACTTTGGGATACAAGATGTTGTGGTAACGATGGAGCTTCTATAGAGATTGATGTGGGTTTACCGGTTGAAAAACTTGTTTACTTCCCTGGAGAAAACCTGATAGGATCTGCAGCTGGTAATACAGTAAAGTGAGCTTGTTGCTTCTTGAGTTCATATATTTCGTGCTATATTTAGAATATGGGATTTGACAAACAGCGGTCACATGCTCGCAAATCTCCAGCATCATCACAAAACTGTGACGTCTCTAAATATGGCATCAAATGCCTTCATCTCTGCTGCTATCGATAAGCGAATTAATTTCTATAACTTGAGCAATTTCTCTCTGGTTTGTTGTTTTCCAAAGATGGGATATTTCCTGTTTAGTCGTACTCGATGTCAGTAGCAGCCCCAGTCTACTCTCTAGCTGTGTCTAGAGATAATCAACGAATTGCAGTAGGAATGGGCAACCTTTTGTCCGTTCATGTAAAGACATATAAAACGTTTACAGGTGATATATGTCTAATAGGTCATTAGAATATTCCTAATTCTCAGAAAAAACATCAAACATTGTGGCTCCAGCTGTTTCTGCCTCAGCTGTTCCTCCGAAGCCTGTTACTAAGTCAACCGAAAAAAACCGAGAGCCGGTAATAGAAGACAACGGAAAAGTGTTAAGGAAATGTATTTCAGAGATTGAGCAGAGTAGATACCCTGCTAAAAGCTTATCGACATGGCGAGGTCATACATAATATTTTTTGCAAAAGTTGCTTTTGTTTGTTATTTCGTGTTTATTGATTCTTCTAGATTTCATAACCGCGACTCAGCATCAACAAACCGTAGCATGGTTGAGACAATTAATTCATCGAAATGTTTTGAAAGGAGCCCTAGCTGGTCAATCTGTTGTTGTCCAGACAAATATTTTGAAGTAGTAATCTTAACGAATTAAGCGACCAACCTTCTATTTATAGATTTTTACAAAAACACATGATGAAGACCAATTACTTCGAAATTCTATCGAGTGTTGCTTTAGCTTTCTTTGGTTAATCTTCCTTTAGAAGAAGCTTATATTAATTTTCGATCTTTACAGAAGTTCACGCAGCTGAGGACGTTGATCCAAAATGTTTAGAATTAATGAAAAAATTGGATGAAATGATAACAAAAGAGTTGCACCTCCAGTCGCAGGTATGTTGAGGAAAGGATTAGAGAGATATTTAATGATTTTATAGATATGTCAAACTATTGGAGCTTTGGAATTAGTTTTACACAATAGCAAGAAGAAACTGGTTCCAAAAAGTAGTACTGATGATAACGTTTTTGAAGAACCTTTGTTTAAGTCCGTTCGTATTTGAATTGTTATGAGACCGGAAGTTTTTCGGTCTTGGTTGTTTTTTGTTGAAGTCTTGTTGATTGTTTCTGTTTGATCTAGAAAAAGGATAACCTTTAGATATTTTATCGTACAAAGAAAGGAACTGAGGCTTATGTACATTCACTTTCAAAACCCTGGCTTGCTTGTGTAGCACGAAGATACCTGACGATCATTTCAATTTTTCTTTAATATGTAAAGATATGAGCTAAAACGGGCAGGTTAGGCAGGAAGGCTATACAGATTTTTTTAATTTGAGAGAGACGTTCGAGTTGAACCATTAATATAATTAATGTCTGTAGAGTCCAGTGTTAAATGCTGAACGAGTTGAGAAATCATTTATGGAAAGCTACTGGAGCTCTTGCCTGCAAGTCATTAAAGCATTCAAGTTGTGAGCCATGGGTTCCTTCTGGATTAGTAAGCACCAATTTTGGAATGTCTAGGGATTCTGGGGAATTCGAGAAAGTTCTGAACAGAATTTTCAGTAATTGATACGAGTCACCTCCGCTACAAACCTTGGCGCCGGCCATTGCGGCTGCAAACAAGTATCAAACACATTATGAGGCGAAGTCGGAGCACTTTGTGATTCAGGAGTAAGCACAGGAGTGGGTACAAGTCGCCCACATTGTCCGCCTGTGCTATGTCTATGAAAAAAAACTGAGAGAAGAAACTAATCCCTTATACCTTGGTCCAATAACTGTATGATAACAAGCAGGAGGCATTTGCTCCAAATTAGGCAAACTACCTACCTTGAAAGAGAAGAGAAAATCAATACAGAAGTCAAATATGTACAACGCACCTCTGAAGAGTAGGCATGTCCTGCAGGTGGGCTTAATTCCATCAAGTGATTCCTTTCATCTAACATCAATGACGAGCCCATAGGAGATCCTTGTGGAGATTGCATAGGGCTGCCATTATTATAACTACAATTTAATAGAAGCCTCATAGGATTAGAAGGGGCCTACTGATATGATTGTAACATTTGTCCATGTGAATTCACTAGAACGGGATTAACAATATTAGGTTGGTTAAGAGAATTTTCATGACAATGATTGATTTCACTAGGACCAGGTGTTACATCCGTTCCATATACATTAGATCTTATCCCTGACATCTACAAAAAAAAATAAGATTGATGCAAGATTATTTGTTTGTGATTACATTGGATTGGTTGATCATGTGTGGATGTTGTTGTGATTGTTGGCCAGGATAGGTTCTGTTCAAAGCAGGATCAGATCTAGCTCGATTCATACTGAATATATAAAATAATAATGAAAAATAAAAGTTAACTTACTGATGCCAAGTTTCCGGCGGTTGCAAAGTTTCTTGTGTAGAATAAGATGCATAATGGAAATGTAAAGGAGGAACTCTTTCTGGGCTTCTGTGCCCGCGATAAGGATGATAAGCAATGTCGGCATTACGAGGATGGTATACAGGTTTTCTGGATTCCCATTGCCAACTATCGCCAGGAGAATAGCTAGGCAAATTTGCGACGTTGGGCAAGGAACCTCCAATTTGTGGCCATGATGGTGGATGGAGAGTGCCATTGACGGAAGTTGGATTTTCACTAGTACTCGTGATAGATCGAACTTCGCGCATAATATCTTCGAACTTATTGACATCCTCGTTTTGCTTCCTCTCCATTATAGCGATTTTCTCGCTAAATTTCCGAGGTGTCCCACCAGACATGATTTAAGCAAACTATCAATATTGCAGAAAAAACATAGATTTTAGAAGAAAAATAAATTAGCCACAAAGCCGGAGATGCGATGCAGCCGCAGTTGCGCGGGGTCCTGACGCTTTCCGGACTACTGTAGTAAGCTGTGGGTCGATGCTCGCATATGTAATATATAGGAAAAATTGTAATAAAAGCTTATTTATCAGACGCGTACTAACGCTTTTGATCGAATTAGAAATTGAAGTTTATAAATGAGATTTACTTTCTCACCAATCAAACGATCTTTGTCCAACGCGAAAAATTAATGAATTCTTTTAAGCTTCTCGACTTTAACATCAGAGCACGTTTTGTGCATCTAAGTTTGAACTTACCCCAGTGTGCAATTCGAAAAATAACAATTAAATTGAGAGGTGCTTACACATTTGTAAAGCTGGTTTCACGAGAAAATAGCTTTTTCAGTACCATAATGAGCATTGGTTCCCCATAGAAGGGAGCAGTAATAGATCCATTCTCGAAAAAGTTGTTGGAAAACAGTACTAACAAGCTTAGATGAGTTTCATGTGTACTTAGGAATAATGAGTTAGTTACCACATCATGCTCAAAACGTAAATCTTTCTTTCAGGTATTGCTGATCGGCAGGTTTGTAATTGGTGTAGGCGTTCGTCTAGAAATTATCATGTGGTGAGCAGGACTTCTAGAGAATATAGAGTGTCTTCTTATGTTAAGGTATCTACAATGCACAGATCTAATATGGAGAAGTACATTGGAAGAGAACAAGCAGAAGAAATTCTCATGGTTTGTCATATTTCATTTTTTCCCTTTACTTTCAACTACCTAAGACTTTGCCAACGAACTCTATTATGCTCCGAGGTCATTCCTATGGCCAGTACTATCTATCGAAGTTGAAAGAGAACAACATTATTGAACAGATACCGTAAGTGCATGCATGTTGTGGCTTGTGGTACTAGCGTTATAGCATTTTGCTTCTTGGATCATATTATTTTTGTATGGGCATACGATTCCCATCTTTATCAGAGATCGTCCGATTCTATTCTTGCGGGCAAGATGAAACTTCCACACTCCCCGGTCTCGATTTTCTAAACCCTTCTATTTTGGAAAATATGGTAAACTCGTAGACATTTTAACATTTTACTCTGACCATTGAGTTCAGGGGGACATTGAAAGATTCATAACTCTCTATGATTTCGGAATGATTGAAGATCAGCAATTACCGTAAGTGTTTATGTGCATAAGTAATTCAACTCCTCTTGTAGATTGTTATCGGGAGATATCATATCGCGTATAGGTAAAAAGAAAAAAGGATTTGTATGTGCGAGGAATGAACGTACAGGGCAGATGGGATCAGTTCACACTTCATTACTGTGTCCTGTGGTTAGAGAAACCTTGATGCCATGAATGAAATTATATCTAGATCGAGGATGATACCAAAGTTCTCTTGCCGTACTTCCACCACAGGCTTACAACCGCCGCCTTCGATGATTTAAAAAATGGTTCTTGTTCTATGTTTTCAATAATACGCAGATTGTTTTTAGGTGGCAAAGGGTCATTTTTGATAAAGCGAGGTTCTAACCTTGAAGATTACTTTGTATTGCTTGTAAACGTTGGGACCGCTAATATCCAACAATTTCTGATCAAATCAGAGTTTCCTGGCTTTGTTTTATCTGGTCGACGATTTGGATCCTTGGGACAAATTGTTAATAGGTGTGTGTTATCATATATTCGTTTTATGTTTTTCTGAAGGTATTGTGGTACACCAATATTCGATGGCGTCACTTTGACTCGAGGAGTTATCAACTTGGATAGTTCATCATCAAGCAGTAGCTTAGATAACTCCACAGGTTTTTCATTTATGGTTTTTCTAGGCCTCATCCGCAGCCTTTTAGATTCATCTTGCCGTAATTTTGAGTTCATCTCGAGTGTGGATGTTTTCTGGAAAAAAGACAAGTCTGATCCATGGAACAAAGGTTGTCTGTCGACATGGAGAGATAATTCGAATTCAGAATCTTTTTTGGAGCTGAAAGTAAGGAAAATCTATTACCATTGCCAAGAAGAATTTATGTTTTAGACAACAGAAGCTCACCGCTTCTCACAAGATTCGGTGATGTTTCCAGTTGATGATCCAGTGTTTGGTTCATACACCTGTATGTTCATAAGAAGTGGGTCTGTTGGGATGTACATAAATTTCCGAAATGTGGTGGATTTAATTTATTGTTGTTACTGTTTCAAGTCAGTTTTCCGATTCCATATCAGCTCTTAATCTTCTTTTTTTCAGATCTCCTTCAACGCCCTATGACTTGAATTTTGTCTCTTATTTATCACTCTCTTTCAATAAACTCCGTTCGAACAAAATAAAAAAGAATAGATTCTATTCCGCTCATTGTAGTGTCGATAATGTGAATGTGAGTAGCTTTTTCAGTTTCTTCTACTACAATCCATTTCAGATTTGTTCCTCGCCTATAATTCCTCCTACCAGCGTTGCAAAATGTTATACTAGCGTGGTCTTTGATCAGATATATGTGATTCCGTAAGATAAAATCAAAATCATGCCCTTCATGAATCTCTTCAGATATGTGCCAGACACATTTTCTCTCAAAATATCCATCAACGTACATACGGAAATGAATGGAATAGGTATCTTGATAACTGTGTATGGAGAGCTGAAGTTGATGTTTCAGGACAAACCTTTTTAGCGTTTCCTCATACAGCTCGGGCTAGCGGTGACATGCTTGATGACAGAAACGAAATGCTCGATTACCATTTACAAGTTCATCGAGTGCCAGTGTTGGAAT